TGCCAGTACAGCTACACCTACCCACAGGGAGCTGAAGGTCAGGTTTGATATGCTAGGATTGATTAGTTCACTATGAGCAAAAGCCAGAGGCTTGGAAGATGGGAAAGTTCCTTCCTTCTCCCCTCCCCACCAAAAAGAAGGGGGGGAGCGAGGAAGGCAGTAGGAGTAGCAGTAGTCGTTCTAAATATGTAGAAGTGATCAAGCAGAAAGAAACCAAAGATAGTACGCAAACTGAGGGGGAAGGGAGAGCTGGATGTGGAACTAGCTACCAAAGGAGAGCTTCATCAGTGTTTATTTCATGGGAGTGTAGGGGAGTCATCTGCTCATCATGTGTTTTATTGGTAAATAATTGCAGAGCCCGTGAACCTGGTTGTTTGGTATAGGAAATGGTATTATAGAAGAGATTTTGTGAACAAATTGACCCATCCCACAGATACTATATGGAGCTTTAAGTCCAGTCACATAATACAATGTTTGATCTTGGTGCCTGAAGTTTTATTTTTGAATTAAGTGTTAATGAGAACTTAAGAAAATTATGGGTTTGTGTCATGTTTACAGAAGTATCATGAAATCATGATGGCTTTGGAGTAAGCACTCTCCCAAACTTCAGCTCATTCTTGACATAGTGAGAGATGCTCTTCCAACAGCTTAGTTCACATAGATGTATTAAGATTAGGCAAACCAACAGAGCATTCTCTTATCCATTTTGTTAGTAGTACCAGAAATATTAATATTTTGAGTTGAGCTGACTACTCTGGATAATAGGAAAGTTCTTGGGAGTAGGTTTTGTTTTCAATCTTTTGAGTCACTAATTTTTTATGAAGACGGCCACATTATACTGACTAGAGAAATAATCTCTGATTAGCTACTTGTCCCTCTAGATTTTGTTACCTGGAAATAATACCGACTCGGTTCTCAGCCTCCTAACACGCACACACACACACACGCACACCCCGTGACAGTTTTTCCATACTACTCTTTGTTGATGGTATCCCTGACTTTATTTTGCATTTCCTTAGCAGTATTTTGCACCATTCTGTTTCCCTTTTTCATGTTGATCTGAAAGTTATTAAATGCTTTTTATTTATAATTGTTTTACCAACCCTTTTGTAAGGTTCTTTTATTTCTTGCACTGTGTACTTGATATATATTTGTTGTTGACTGACCACAGTCAGTAACCACACATTCTAAATAGTCAAGAATGATGAGTGAAAGAATATATAGTAGAGTAGGTGTATGGTAGTTCACTTTCTCTTTTATTTGCTCTCTTTCTTCTCATGTTTGCTGTCATTTACCCATACTTGCTCTTATCTATTCTTCTTGCTGTCCTACTTCATTTGAAACAGAGAAATCCAGTGTGTGTGTGTGTGTGTGTGTGCGCTTGTCCCTTTGAACACAGGGCAGGTTGCACTAAGGAACCGTTACTACCACTTCAGGTTTTGTCCTTTACCCTGATCATGAAAACAAGTTCACAAAAGAAGATTGACACAAAATGTCATGGGGTTGTATCCATGAGGGAAGTTAGGGATAGCTAACCACCGTGGAGTTTGATACTTCCTCAAGTTGTTGGAAGGCAAAAGAGGGCAACAGGGTTCCAGACCTACACAGCATCACCAGAGAAAGGCAAATAGTTGTGGCCTGTTTGGTAATTATGTCACTACCTTCTGGAATATTTTTAGGACAAGTTAGTAAGCTGACTGCATGTGAATCCAGATGTGGAGGTGGACATATAGATATATTTACCTGTTACTTGGTTTTTGACCTTGGGCAGGTTTCCTAACCACTCCAAGCCTATTATCTTCAGTCATAGGTCTTATGATATCCCTAACTTGCAAGGATATTGTGATATTGAATTTAATAATATACATATCAAGATGCTTACTGTCCTGCCTAGCATGAAGCCAGTGTTTCCTTAAAAAATATAGATTTACATCAGGATTAATATTAGTTATAAGAATTGGAAATTGTTAAATTTGTTTATCCTAGTACTAAATTTAGAAATTCTGTGCTTTCATTTAATATTCTCTCCTCTACATACCTGCTCACCGCTCTCCCACAAAAAAGAACTGAATTTCAGAGGAGACCTTTTTTTTTTTACTTAAAGGAGATATATATATTTTGGGGGGAAAAATCGTTTAACAAGTAAGTAGTATTATTGCCATTACTTCATTATTTACTATTAGATTGGAATAGAACTTTGTATCTTATATATTAAAAAGTCAGTTAAGACCACTGATTTCTAAATTTCAAATTTGACAAAATTTCAAGTTAACATTTTAACAAAAGGATGACAAAATACTTTTCATATTTCTAAAATATGTATTCTGTCTGATATGTACTAAAACTTATAATTGACATTTGAATTTGAAATCAGTTACGTTGGAATGAAATGTAATGCTTGTATATGTATTGAAGGAAAATTGAGGAAGAAATGTTTTAATTTACAACTAGTGTTTTAGTAAAAGTTCTTGCTACCTAGAACTTAGCTTAATTCCTTTCATACAGAAAATGGTTTTCATTTTTTTACTCATTTTAATAAATTGTTAAATACAATACTGTGTTAAATAATTTTATGTGCAGTATGCTATTTAATAACAAATTTTGTGAACAGTTCTGATTTCTTCCACTAGAGGGCCGTCTTAGAGAAGCTTTTCCTTGTTTAATGTCAAAGTATTTCTATACACCTTTAATGACAACTGAACTTTCTCAAAAAGAATTTTAGAGAAAAGATAATACTTACTAATTTCTTTCAGAATGTATATCTACAAAGTAATCTTTTCTGAGATGTTGGTGGAGGATATTTTGTAAATTGGTCCTTTTCTCCCCTTATATCTTCAACAGAGGAAATGTTTCTATTGTCTTACCTGTTAAAGGCTAGACTCTAAGCAGAAATGTAAATAAAGCCTTTTTTACTAGCCTGGCTTTACAACATTATCTTATAGAATTGTATATTCCCTTTCTTTCCACTCGTCACCCCCACCCCCCCTAAAAAAGCTCAGCAAGAATTGTGGTTTCAGAGTGGTGGGGGGAAGCAGGTGCTATGTGAAGAGGTATGTCACAAACGTGTGTATAGAAAGAACATTTTCTTTGATAAGGATTTTATTAGACATATGCCACCAACTGGAAGGAAACTATTCAATGAGGTTTTGTCCTTCTAAGCCCAGAGCCCCAAGTATTTAACTCAATATTTGTTGGGTTGATACTCAGCAAGTGTTCTAATACTTCATTATAGCAAGGTCCAGAGGAATAGGAAGCAGGAATAGAAGACTTAGGAGTGTTAGTTTCTATCCAGCTGTCCCGTGTTGTACATTTGCCTGAGTATGACGGGCCCTAGCAAGCAGAGTAAGGGTGACTGGGAGTCTTTAACACTTGCTTTCATTTCTCTCAGGGTGTAGGGACTGAGGAATTCGTTCAAGAAGACCGTAGTACTAAGTGATAAGTATAAGGGCTTGCTTGTATTTTAAGTTCAGTCTAATACATTATCCTTTTACTTTTCATAACTCTTGCCTTAGTTTGGTGTGTTTGCTATCAAACTTGTATGCATAAAAATCACCTGAGGACCTTGTTAATAATACAGATATCCAGGCCTCAGCCCCAGAGGTCTCAAATGTATAGATCTGGCATGTGGTTGGGCATCAGTACTGATTTAAGAATCCTCACTACCCCCCCAACCAGGTATTTTTCTGTGCAGACTGAAGTTTGAGGTTTAATGGAAAGAGCAAGCTAGACCTATTTTCTTTCTCAGGAACTTGCTCACCTGCTAGTTCCATAACCTTGAGCAAGTTTCTTAATATCTCTGAGCGACAACTGAAAAAGGAGATAATACATTTCTTTAGGATCATAATGATGATTTGATTAATTAACATATGGGATAGTGGTTATAACAGTGCTTGGCCCACAGAAGGCGTTCCATGACGCCCTCCTTATCACACGTGGAACTTTTGCCATCTGGCTTCTGCCCACCTTGCCGCTTAGATCTTTTATGTCCTTCCCTCTCCTCCAACCATGTTAGGTTTCTTGTTCCCTAAATAAGCGGGTCTGTGAGGCTTCCATGCCTTCACATTTGTAATCACCTATTCTGGGAATGCCTTCTGCTGCCTCCTCTTTAGTAGTTTCTTACTTGTCCTTTAAGACCATTCACTTGTCATAGCTTCTGTGGCCACTCACTCACCTTCCTGCATCCTCTGCCCCCACCACACACGTACTCTCTTTGCTTTACTCTGTCTAGTCCTCGTGCACTGAGAGGCATCATGCTATAATGAAAAGCGCATGAGCAGGCCCAGATATGAATACTGACAGCCTCCAACTAAATGTGTGAGCTTGGACAAGTTGCTTTAATTCCTCCAACCCTTTTTTTTTATGTGCAAAATGAGGATAATATTACTGTACAATGTTGTGAGAAATAGGAAATAATGTGTATGAAGCACCTAGCACATAGCTAGGTAAATAGTAGCTGTTTGTTTTATAATAATGATTTTATATATCTTTCTCCTTATTCACCTTTCTATACTCAATGCATAATAAGATACATTTAATAGGTTCTCTGTAATTATTTGGTGAAAGAGTGAATGGGTCCATGAATAAATGATAACCAACTGATAGTTTGGAAAACTATCAAACACTATTTAAAGGTTCTACTTATATTTGAGTGCTGAATTTTCTGATAGGAAGCCTACCTACTGTGTATTTCAAATTTTGTTAGAGTATAATTATATATCGCTAAGATAAACTGTTGCAGAAAAAGGCAATTAAATTTAGATTTTAGAGCTTTTATGGACCAGAGAAATGCCATATTATTAATGTGCAGATATAAAGTTTAAGTTCAAATTTGACCTTCACAGTAAAAAAAAAGTCATGTTTTGAAACATGGTTTTGAGATGATTTTCTTATCACAATCAAAATTCAGTAATTTATTTGATAATGTGGTGGTTTAATAAAATAGCCCTCTGATTTAACAGTAAACATACAAATTTTCAAAATATTTCTTTTTCTTGTAATAGCAACATTTCATTGAGTTGGATGAAAATAGACAGAGATTATTGCAGAAATGCAAAGAACTTATGAAGAGAGCTAGGCAAGTATGTAACCTGGGTGCAGAGCAGACCGTTCCTCAAGAATATCAGACAGTAAGTATAAAAAGTATATAATGCTATAAGTTAGTGTATTTAACACATTATTTTTAAGCTTAAAGTGTGTTAGACATTGTAATGGGCCATGAAAGACATGATATTCCATAAAACCTATGGGATTTTTTTTCCCATTTTTAAACTGAGTGTGTATGTACAGTAATTTTGCTTAATGGGTTTTCTCTACTATACTCAGACTTGGGCACCAATCAGTCTTTGCCCAATACTCAAGTTATTCAAACATGGGTGTCATCTTGCAGAATCATTAGTACTATAACATTTATTCTTCCAATGAAAGGCTTTTTTCCCCAGGCTACTTTTAAGGGATAGGGTCAAGAGATGGGGTGTAGTTTTTCATGGAAATACAGCACCAGTAATTGTTATATAAGAAACAGTAAATAGAGGTGATATTTAGGAAAAAAAGGCAAAATGAAAATGTTTTCCTGGAAATTAGGGTGTTTATTTAGGGAGCTGAATCTTTCAGGCTAACATCTGTTGGTAAGGAAAGGAGAAAAGAGCCTTTCCTTCTTTCCATTATGTTTTCTATGCTGACATATCTTCGCTTAGTAAGATGAGGAGATGCTACCCTTTTGTCCAAGTTCCACCATTAGTTATATAGCCCTGTGACCCTCACCTTTATCTGACAAGTAGGGATAATACCTTGCCCAACATACCTACTCACTCAGAATAATGTCAAAATAAAATAAGAAAATGAATAGAAAATGAATTTTTAAATATCTGGTATTTCTATAGCTTTTTTTTATCTTAATTTGAAATGTTATGTCAATAGATAATGAAATGTCTACTAAAGATATAAACAGAGGGCCGGCCCCGTGGCTCAGTGGTTAAGTGCGTGCACTCCGCTGCTGGCGGCCCGGGTTTGGATCCCGGGCACGCAGCGATGCACCGCTTCTCCGGCCGTGCTGAGGCCGCGTCCCACATACAGCAACTAGAAGGATGTGCAGCTGTGACATACAACTATCTACTGAGGCTTGGGGTGGGGGTAGATATAAATAGAACTGGGGAAAAAAACTAATTTGGATTATAATTTTCAAATCCTTAAGGATTTTACTCTATGGTATCAGGCACAGAAACCACAGAGAATGGATCTGATTGTTTGGGTACATAGTAGGGATTTAGAAGATGTTTGTAAGATAAATTGAGGAGCTGGTATTTCTAAAAATATACTAGAACTTCCCCCAAATACATTGTGTTATAATAAAATAAGTAAATATTAGTACAGTGTCTATCCTTGATAAGTTGTACTGTTTTTGAAAGGAACAAAGAAGATAATTCATATATTCATTAAAAATGTATTGATTACCTGCTATATATCAGGCATTGAACAAGACAGATATATTTCCTTCTCTACTGAAATTTATATTCTAGTCTGGAGGGTGGGGCAGACAAAAAACAAATCAAAAAGCAAGTAGATAATGTCTGGGGCCGGCCCGGTGGCACAAGCGGTTAAGTGTGTGCGCTCTGCTGCGGCGGCCCAGGGTTCGCCAGTTCAGATCCCAGGCGTGCACCAACGCACTGCTTGGCAAGCCATGCTGTGGCGGCGTCCCGTATAAAGTGGAGGAAGATGGGCATGGATGTTAGCCCAGGGCCAGTCTTCCTCAGAAAAGAAAGAAGAGGATTGGCAGATGTTAGCACAGGGCTGATCTCCTCTCACACACACACACACACACAAAAGCAAGTAGATAATGTCAGATAGCAGGAGGTACTAAGAAGAAAAATAAAACGAGGTAAGAGGATAGAGTGTCAGGGAAGCCCCCTTTGAGAAGATACTATTTTAGGTAAGTCCTGAATGAAGGGAGGAAATCAGTCAAGTGAAGATTTGAGGGGAAAGTATTCCAGGCAGAGAAAACAGCTCATATAGAGCACTTGAGGCAGAAGTTTGTTTGGCATGTTTCAGAATAGAAGGAATCTCAGTGGGGCTGAAAAATTATAATCCAAGCAGAAAGGCAGGCAGAAGGCAGATCATGTAGGGCCTTATAGACCATAGAAGGAGTTGGAGTTGTATTTTGAGACGAAATCCATTGAAGGACTTTAAACAGAGGAGTGATGTGACTAACTTCAGCTTATAAAAGAGCACTCTAACTGCTCTGTAGACAATAAAGTAGGGGTACAAGGATGGAAGCAAGGGGACCATTGAGAAGATTATTGCTCTGGACCAGGCAAGAGGTGATAGTGGCACAGATTAGGGTGGAAGCGCTGGAGAGAGAGAATTTTTAAGATTTGAGGTGTCTTTTAATGACAGAGCCAGCAGGACATGCTAATGGATTTGAGGTGAAGGGTAAGAGAACCCCTAAATTTTGCTGTTTACCGAGATGGAGAAGATTGGAGGACAAACAGGTTTGTTCAAATTGGTGAGGAAGGTGGGTGAAATGAAGATTTCTGTTTCACTATCTTAAATTTGAGATGGCTGTTAGAGAGTCAAGTAAGTGTTGGGCACGTGAATTCAAAGCTCAGTGGACAAGTCAGATTCAGCAAAATATACTTAAATATCTGAAGGTCTGTAGAAGTTGATTTGCCTTCTAAAAGGTTAAAAAAAAGACATAAGATGAAGAGATTAATGTAATGTGTCAGGATCTTTTTCTGAGTTTCAAGATTTGTTTTGTACCTTGTACTATATGAACTTTGCAGGTTGTGCTGGCAAGACAATGTACTGCTTGCCTCCCCTCTTCGGAAAGTATCTGTTTTGTCTCTATGGCATGGACTCAGAAGATAGTCTGTGGTGAAATTCCACCGTCAAAGTAATTGGATTCTTAGGATGCTTTTGTAGTTCTTCATAAGTGCAGTATAAAGTTCTAACTTCTTGCTCTCTTTCAATGCCCCACATATTCTGGACCCATTCTACCAATTCAGCAAGTACCCACCATTCCAAATGGACACAACTCCTCACCCCCCATGGTATGCAGTGCTCATTCTTTTTTCCAAGCTCCTGTCTCCCCTCTGCCTTGCTTTTCCCTAGCCATTTGCTTTAAGGTCCAGAGATGAATTCTAGGCTTCTGAATCCTCTTAACTCTCTTGTAGCTCCTGTAGCATGAACTGATCCTTCCATTCTTTAAATTCCATAGCCTATGTGATATGTACTGCTTGTTTTATTACTCACCATCAATACACTGCCTTAAGGTGTTATCCAGTGTTATTAAGTGTATACGTTTTGTTTTCTTTTAAAGTGTAAGCTTTTTGAAGGCGAAAAACCCTGTTTATAACTCCTTTGATTCCTTGTTGTGTGCTAGCATGCTGTTGAACACATAGTAGTTACTTAGCGTAATATTTTTCTTTTAACTATTTAATTGAACTGTTTTCATGGTACTATCTATAATGATGGACAATTTTTTTCTTCTTCAGGCTTTCCAAGATCTTCCAAATACATTGGATGAAATTGATGCTTTATTAACTGAAGAAAGATCAAGAGCTTCTTGCTTCACAGGACTGAATCCTACAGTATGCTTCTTTCCCTATTGCTTACTGCAGCCACCACCCTCCCCATGCAGACACACACACATGCGTGCACACAGTTCCCTCCAGTACTTGCCTCCCACTCTGTACTAGAGCTCTTGGTAATAATAAGCTAGACAGCAGGAACAATGTGCTTTAAATGCCAGATTCTGAATCTATTAGAATTTTAAATAGATTCTTCCTAAGGAACACAGTGTTCCGTGCCTTTTCTTTATAAAAAGAATAGTTGGGCAACCTGAAATATTGCAATGTCTATTTTTTTCGAGGATAAAAAGTGGCATTTTTCTATATGTTATAAGAACATAAATTAATTGCCTACAAACAATACAACACAGTTGGCATTTTCAGTTAATGTTTTAATTATGCAAAACTTCCTGTGATTTTATCCTTTGGTAGATTTATCTTAAAGAAATATTTTTTTCCCTGCCAGGTCGTTGAGGAATACACAAAAAGAGAAGAAGAAATAGAGCAATTAACCGAGGAACTAAAGATAAAGAAAGTTGAACTGGATAAATATAGGGAAAGCATTTCACAGGTAATTGTTTAATTTTTACCCTTTCTTTTTGTCACATGCTTACCATTAATCATACGAGAATGTAGAATAATGCAAAATGAAATGATAAGCCTCTAAGAAAAAATGCAATATATGTTCTCCTGACCAGATTGATATTGATATTAAATTTGTTTTATGTAAAGTTTTGTATCACAATGTAATAACACTTCTTTTAAATTGTGTTTTTATATTACCTTTATTTGCAGGTAAAAGAAAGGTGGCTTAATCCTCTAAAAGAGCTGGTAGAAAAAATTAATGAAAAATTCAGCAATTTTTTTAGTTCTATGCAGTGTGCTGGTGAAGTTGATCTCCATACAGAAAATGAGGTAAAATTGCATTTTAAATGTTTCCTGGTAAACTGAAAGTACATGTAAATTGTTTATTTACTCTAAAGTTATATTTGTGAAAATTTTGCTTACTAAAAAAGTGTTCAAAGGAAGGAAAAGACCACCTATGGGATTCCATCAGGGTCACCTTTTTTTTTTTCCCTTTGGTGATATTTGAGATTAGTGACTAATACTTTACTAACTCTTTTTATAGCCATTCTAAGTAATGGTTACTCAGCTGTGATGAGCAAATGCATTGCTTTATAAATCTGCCACTATCCAAGTTAGAAGAGTCATAAACAAATTGGCAAACGTAACTGATACCAGTGGTTTCCTTTTGATCAAGAATTTGAGAGTTCACAAGAATGGAAGTTTGCTACTAATTTCTTGAGCTATAAGTCCATGCATTGCAGTTGTGGGTAAAATAAAATTTCCATTAAGAAATGTGTAGAAAGATGAACTGGAATTTGCTTTAAAATAATCGGTAAAGAGGAGTGGGTGGAGTTATAGATGAAACAAGATTGGTCACGTATTGATCCGAGTTGACTAGTTGATGATACATGAAGCTTATTTTAGTGTTCTAATTTTGTGTATGTTGAAATTTTTCTCTAAGTTTTTTTTAAGTAAGAAAGAAATGAAGATAATAAAAAATCCTTTTCCTTCACAGCTCAGCAATTATACGTTTTTGCATTTTAGCTTGAATGCAGTTTTGCATGTATGTTACACACATAAATATAAAAGCAAGGTAGCACCTTTTTCTCCCCTTAAGAACTTTGCCCCATGACTTCTTCATCTGCTTAGTGTGAGACATACAGATAGCAAACATCATTTCATTGTTAAGTTCTAGTAAGATATTAGACCCTGCCGTGGTAATTGTCACCTCCACAGTCTTTGGGCTTGTTAGAATTGAGACGTATTGTAGTAACAAATCTAATTTACAATATACTTTCCATGTGTCAGGCACTATGCAAGCTTTTTTTTTTTTTTTTTTTGGTGAAGAAGATTGGCATCTGTGCCAGCTCTATTTTGTATATAGGATGCTGGCACAGCATGGCTTGACGAGCTGTGTGTAGGTCCGCACCTGCGATCTGAACCCACAAACCCCAGGCTGCGGAAGCGGAGCGCTCGAACTTACCCACTACGCCACCAGGCTGGCCCCGAAAGCACTTTTAAGTTGGTTATCTTGTTTAATCCTCACAACCATTCTATAAAGCAGGTACTTTTATTGACCCTATTTTACAAATAAACTGAAACAAAGTATTTAAGAACCAGTTCCTGTCTGCAAGCTTTAGGGGTCTCGAAGGATCTATTTAGATAAAGCTAATATTAGTAAATTTTAAGTTCTTTACTCTTATAAATGATTTGTTCAGTCTATTTTCAACTAATAGTATGAAATTACCAGAGAAAACTGTCACCTTTTGTCATCTTTTTACATGTTTTATAGGAAGACTATGATAAGTATGGAATTCGAATTAGAGTCAAATTTCGCAGTAGTACTCAACTTCATGAACTAACTCCTCATCATCAAAGTGGAGGCGAAAGAAGTGTTTCTACCATGTTATACTTGATGGCACTTCAGGAGCTTAATAGATGTCCATTCAGAGTGGTCGACGAAATCAATCAGGTATAGTGCCTGTTCTTTTACTTGGATTTTATTGTATCTTGTAATAGATTTAAATGTAATCATTATTATTGTCATTGTTTAGGGAATGGACCCAATCAATGAACGAAGAGTATTTGAAATGGTTGTAAATACTGCTTGTAAAGAAAACACATCTCAGTACTTCTTTATTACACCAAAGGTAAGTACTAAGTAACCTAAAAATGCTCATGTACTCAGAAGTCCCCTGTGGCTTAATCATGTAGCAGATTTTGGCCCAATATGTAAATATGAGAAGGAACACTCCCAAAAAAGGAACTAAAAAGATTACAGTAATATTTATATTACTAAAGGGGCCAAGTTCCAGTGACATACTTAATCAGAAACCTCATTATCAGAGGAAGAAATGTAGGAGGCATAGCATTATGTTCTAGAACCGAGATTTCCTTCCTGCTTTTGGCACATAGTTCTCCTCTAGAGAAGCTCCTCTTGCAGCACTAAAAGATGACAGAAGAATACGAACCTGGGAACTGCGGCTGTCTCCATTTCCCCAGGAAGGCCTGTCTAGGCATACTCGGCCTTCTTTATTTACCACTGCCACTGCCCTGGCCCAGGGGACGTCATAAATATCCCAACATCTTCTATTCACAGAGTAACTTTGATAAAAACAGAATTATCTTTATGGAGAATTTTCCATAAACTAGAACCATTGCAATGGGAAATTTTCTTTTGTTACATTTTGTGCTGTGGGTAAATTATAAAACTGATTACTCAAAGATGTGTTTTATTAATGTAATCAGTTTAAAAAGAAAAAAACTTAAGTATTTATGAAAAATTTCATTGGAGAACCCATCTCAAATTCAGATTTTTACTAAATAGTACAATCTGTCTTCTTTTTCTAGCAGATACTCTATGGAATAGCCAGATCTGTTAATTACCCTACTGTTTACCAAACACCTTGGCCTATAAGCCAGACCTCCCTGTTACACACTTTTCAGCCTACCGGTCTGTCACAGTGCCTGACCATAGAAGCTGCTTGAGAAGTGTTTGTGGATAAATGAGTGCAAGTATCTGTCCTAGGAAAATTCTGGAGGACACTCTTTCTCCAGGGTCGACCTAAGAAGTTATATGATCCCATTTGGCCTGTGAATGTAGAGGGCTCCCAAGGCATGTTGATTACTTAGGCCAGCCAGGCTTCAGGTGTGCTAATTCAGGTAAGGATCACAGTCTGGCAGGTATTGAGTTGTTTGAGAACTTTATAAGAGTCTCATTAATATTACAAATAAAATAATATATTTGACTGTACACATGTAAGTTTGGAATCTGCTTCCTAATGTACAGCATTATATGACAGTTTGCTTTAACACTTACAGCTCCTGCAAAATCTTCCTTATTCTGAAAAGATGACGGTATTGTTTGTCTACAATGGTCCTCATATGCTGGAACCAAATAGATGGAATTTAAAGGCTTTCCAAAGGCGGCGGCGCCGAATTACATTCACTCAACCTTCTCAATAAAAGTAAAGGGCAAGAACTTTGGTATTTTTCTGTTAAATCCTGTTTATAAGTACAGCTCAACTGAATAAAAGGAGATTCAATAAGGCTAAAAGATCAGTTATTTTTGGAAACCTGCTGTTAAATACAAATGGGTTGATGAGTGGAAACCATAATAACTTCTTTCTGTGGAACATCATCTCGTAGTAAAAATTAAGTCTTCTTCAGTCGATGTCGAACCTGAGTCCTTAGCATTCTGACAGCGTGTCATTGGTTCCCACGTTAGAAAGTATTTACTATTTCAAATCAAAGGTACCGTGGAAGGGTTCTCAATCACAAGAAATTTAGGTGACATGGTAACCCTGGGCTTTAATCACAGAGTGACTTTAATTACTTTTAGAGTCTAAAGATGACTCCATAGCTTACATCATAGTTTTCTCCCAGTGTTATATTTAATTTTTAAAAATTGATATGGAAATGTCTAGTCTAATGTATAGTAATTTATGACAAATCTATTCATTTCTTCCTATTAAAAAAGATTACCTTATCTCCACTAGGAAATGGAATTTTATGGGCCTTTAAAAAATTTTATGAAACTTAATACTATAATTGTATTGGTATCTCAAAGGAAAAAAAAGTACTGAGGTTCAAAACTGGTAGCAGGACTTCTTTGAATGCCACAAGGTGGCCACTAAATGATGGAAAATGCAACCAAAAGATTGACAGAGAATAAAATCAAGTGACAAGGATTTTTAAAGAATAACCTTGTAAAGTGTGTGGTTTTTTTTTTATTAATTTAAAGTCAATTGTATTTTACATCTTAAATTTCTAAAAGCATTTTTATAATTATTTTTAGTGAGATTTTTCTTAAGATTTCATATACTGGTTTCTACGATTTATATTTGAAATTTCTCAGTGTTAATGTAAAGAGTGAGAGAAAGCATTGATTTGTTTAAAACCATAATGTTTCTAGAACCTAAGCTTATAGGTCCTTCTGTAGAGTGTTGATCCTATCCCATTATCTTAGAAAATTTAGTTTTAACTGTTTTCTTTTAGCATGAAAGAATTAGATGAGAAAATCATTTGTTTATCTCTGAGTTATACTAATTAACAGTGCCAAAACAAATTCTATTCTTTTAAAAAATAAATCTTGTAAGATAATGGACTAGTCCAAGGACATGTCTTTGAACAGTGGATTCGATCTGTGCTGGTAAAGACAAAATTATTTTTTGACTTGGTAGTTTGAATAAATTGAAGAATTGCATTCAGTTTGGGTTTTGTATATTCTTAAATAGCCACTGAAATTTATATTCGTATTAGGTCAAAAAATAATGAACCATAAGTTTATCTCCTCTCACTTGGACATTTTCTCTCCAAGGTATTTTCTTCTTCTCTTAAAAGAGTATTTTTTTCCTTGATAAAAATTTTGAAAGAAAGAGCCTTCTCCTCTTAAACTAAGTGTAATGCATGTACTATGAAAATATTTTAAAATAATTTTACTAGTGTGAACTCATGTAAACATTGAAAAACTTGGTATCGTTAGTAAATGGTTGTTGTTACCAGATTTTTTTGTTGTTTAGTACTTTGTTCTCCACCAAAATGCATTTACTAATATGTGCTTGTAGTGTAGTTTGTTTATTGTCTCAGTTTGTGCTGGTCATCTTCTTTCTGAAAAATGAATATCAATGTGAAAAAGAAGCTTGAAGATTAGGTGTGTTTGAAAATAAAATGCTCAGTAACATTTCAGTTTACACATGCCAACAATTATTCCATAACTTGTTTATAAACATTTTTATTTCTCTACTGGACAAAGTTAGTATTTGGTTTTACATTGAATTTTGAGCTGTGAAGGATAAATTATGTATCATTTTAACATAGTAATAAAAGAATAATAAGTCTAGCACATTGTAGTCTCAGCCACTTAAAACTTTATATATTTTCTGCAAAAATTGATTTTTAATTACATATAAATTGTAAAAACCAAGTAAAAGTCTGATTTGATGAGTAAAATATTTAAAACCTTAAGGTGACAAGCAAGTGTTGTTAATGACAAAATCTTCATTGATTTGCCTAAGGAGAGAATCTCTATTAAAGGGTTTTTAGTGTTCAAAGTAGAAGGAAAGATTTCTTGCTGCTTTCTAATTGTCTTTTGGACATGTGCTTATTTTCTTTGGAGTATGAATCTTTAGTGTGTGAAAAACGTAATTTTGTCCTGTTATTGTGTGTGTCTTCATGTGTGTGTAATTGAAAAAACTCTTTGTGGGAAATGCTCCTTTGTTGGTAATAAATGCATATTTTCATATTCTTTTGGTGTGTTATTGTAAGTGAGAACTGTTTTTATACTTAGAACCTTCTTAAGAGTCATTTTTGTTTTCGGATTTACTGAAAAACAAGTCTCTTGACTGCCTAAATTTACAGAACAGTGTTTGGCAGTCTGTCCGTGTTCAAAAGAATAGAAAATTTAGTCCCTTGTCTGCCTGCCGGGAAATTACAGTCTATAAACACAATAAAAAAATGCAATAAACACAAGAAAAAGGGTTTAAACCATCTAAAGAAGCCAAGTTACAACGCAAGTATAAATATTTTTACGTTAAAACCCTAGATTTGCTAAAAACGCTCCCAATAGCCAATTTTTGTCTTATTTCTTACATTAAACTACTATCTAAAGTAACTTTTTAAAATGTACTCTTGAGTCAGGCCAACTTGGTAGTTTGCTTGCAGACAAGTTACTTCACTCAGTTTCCTCTTGGGTGAAGTAAGGATAATACCTAATTCACAGAGTTGCTGAGAGGATCTAATGAGATTAGCAGCTTAGTAGGGCACCTAACTTCATGGTAGGCACTTTATAAATGTTTTCTTCTCCTATTTCTTTTTCCTCCACTTTTATTGAGATCTCATATTTTATATCTTGAAAAAGATAATGTACTATGTATTTTATACATCAAGGCCTGATAATTCTCTTCTAAGTAAAGGTAATGTAGAGATTTTTATTCTGTCTTATTGATAGCATCAATTGATCAAAGGATGTAGATGCCTATAGGCTTTGAATGAGCCTTAAGCAATACAGATAAAATTATTTTCATACATCTTCTTACCTTCATGAAATTTGAATATCTTAGCCAGAGGAGCTGCCTTAAAGGTACTTATACCAATCTATCTCATTACTGTATAGTCACACCATGTATTTTGGAAAACTTATAATTAATACAGTTTGCACATTTGGGAGTTTGACTCTGTTGACATTTTGGACTTATTTTTTATTCCTAATGGAGAAGTTGGAGGTAGGGGATTTGTTTTTAATGTTGAGATATAACTGTTCACTCATTGCTCCAAAACAAGTTATTGGAGATTGGATACTTTTTTTTAAAACCACATTTGTTTAACCCCATAGAGAAAGAGCAGGGCTACTCTGCTTAGCTTCATTCTAAGAACTGTGCTGAAGGGGACTCGGTGAAGCCGAGAGTGGCCTAAAAACAACTCGGGCTCTGTGGGCTCTGGCTTCATCTGAGAGGCTGGAACACAGGTTGGCTGTTTTCAGGCAGTTGGGAAACATGAAAGACGTGCTCCTTCCACAAACATTATTACATTACCTTTCTGACCACGCTTTAGTTAGTCAGTTTCCATTTTGCCTCTCGGGAGCATGCTTACACACTCTTGGCATTCAGCTCATGTGTTTAGAGTGGAGGCCAAGGGGACGAGGATGCCAGGGAGTTAATCATTGCTGCCAAATACTCAATAAGGAGTGGACTGAAATTGAATCATTTCAGTATAAGGAAAGATTTGGGGCAAACTGTCCACTGAATGTTAGGATAGCATGATGAATTTTAAATTCTTTTCATATATTTAAAATCTTAATTTAGTCCCAGAGGTCGCTGTGACATGTTGCCTTCTTTACCTTCAAATATTAGATGTTAGACTTGGAAAGGATCTTCCAAGTGGCCTAGGTCATCCTCTTCTTTTCAGTCATAAATCATGAAAAGGAATCATTTGAGTGATTCAGGCTAACACTGATAAGCCTAAATAAATTATTTTGTGAACTAGATGCTATAATTTGTTTATAAGCTGTATTACACTTTTGAAATGTTGTAATATGTATTATTATACACAACCCTGTACTGTAGATGAAGAAGCAGGAGCTTAGCAAGGTTATGACTTGTTTAAGCTCTTACTATTGGTAAATGGCAGAGGTGGGGCTAAAAAACCAGGTTTAACGTTTTCCAGAATACCATGCTGCCTTTTTATCAAGATACCTTGCCTTTTGAATTGTTGGAGCTATACCATAAACAGTTCCTGGTTATGTAATTAACTTCCTTGTGGGTAAGATACTGCTTATCCAATATGCCTCTGAATTCGAGTACAAGTTAACTTGTGCTGTAACAAAAACCCAAATTTAGCTTATACAAGATAGAAGTTTATTCCTCTCTTAACAGAGCATAGGCAGTCTGGGACTCTTCACCCAACTCCTGTTTTGTTGCTCTGCCATCCTCAAGAACCTGTGGGTTCCTTCTCCTGGTCCAAGATGGCTGTTTTAGCTCTTGCCAACATGTCTATATCCAAAGGATCAAGGAGGAAGAAAGGGACAAGGGCAAGATATGACCATTCCTTTTAAGAGCATGATCTGCTAGAGGCACAAATTATTTTTGCTTTTGACTGGAACTTAGTCACATGGCCTGGAAGAGAGACTTGAATATATGTCATCTTGAGCTATGTGGCTATGTACTTAGACTCCAGCTGCTCTGTGACTCAAGAAGAGGAGGCTGAACATGGGACAAGCAGGAGTCTCTGCCAGAGACCCAAAGAGAACTGATTGTCCTATGGCCTATTGGCAATGTTTTCAGAGAAAAGACTTGGTAGGTTCCCCATCACATTCATAAAAATCCAGAGATATCACAGCCTTCAAGATTCCTACATATCCCTCATCTACAATACATCCCTAAGCCACTGTGCCGTTCTCTTGCCCTGTTTTTCCCTCATAGTATTTACCACTACGTATCATTATATATTTTGTTTTGACAGTGATTTGAGCATATTGATTCTGTTATTATTCGTGTATTTAATCCTTATTTACATGTACTGTGAGCAAAGCACTACCACATAGTTTGAGGAATAAAAAACGTGGCCTGCCTATGGTTCCACTCTCAAGAAACTTAGTCTAGGATGAGGATTCTGGTTCAAGATGGTGGCATAAGATCTTGAACTCACCTCCTCCCGTGTTCACACTGAGTCTACAGCTACATGTGGAATAATTTCCTCTTTAAAAAACGTCAAGCCTGGCTGAGTGATGACTACCCGTAGGGCAAAGGAGAAGAAAAGCACATCAGAGGGTAGGAGAGGCTGGGACACAACCTTACCATAACCCCCCCCCCCCCCCCCCCCCCCCCCCCCCCCCCCCCCCGCCAGTGTGGTGACTCATAATCAGGAGGGAACTCTAAACCCGGAGCTTCTCCCTGAGAAGCGAAAGGTTCAAACCCCATGTAGGGCACCCCAACTTTTAAGACCTGCACTTCAAAGACAAGCCCCAAAACATCTAACTTTGAAAACCAACAGGGCTTGCATCCTGAGACCCACAAGATTATAGCGATCTGAGAAATGGCGTAAAAGGCGCACATGCTCAGACTCACCTGCCCCAGGGCCCAGCTCAGACGCAGCCAATCACGCCCAGACTTAAAGTGAAGGAGGCTCACCTGCTTACATGAAAGCATTGGCCTGAGGGGCAGGCATCTAATTTAACACATTCATCTTGGAGCCTGCTGGAACACTCTCTGGGGCCAGGCAGACACCGTCTTTGCACTCTCCCTTTGCCATGCTCCAGAGCATTAGTATCTCCTAGAAGGGAGCTTTTACATGTGTCTGGTTCCCCAATTTTTGCAGCTGCTGCCCGGGGGACACCTCTTGATCACCTGGCTCTGAAGGCCAGAGGAGCTCGCACTCCTGGTCCCCTGGGACTGTAACAATTGGTGTCACCCAGAAAGGAGCTTATGCCCTTGTCTGGCACCCCAAATTTTATGGCTGCTGCCAGGGGACACCTCTATATCACCTTGCTCTGGTAGCCAATGAGGCTTACACCTGCCCATGGGTCCCACAGGACTGTAACCAATGGGGAAAGTGTTCTTAAACAGCTACTACGTCCAGGGCAAGGGGCAAGACTCTGGAGCTTGCCCTTTCTGGAAAGGAGGCCTATTAGCTAATCTCATGGCTGCAGCCTGAGGGCCAGGCTTCTAATTAAACACACATCTAGGAGTTGTCTGTAATTCTTTCCAGAAACCTCAGAGGGCGGGTGCTATCTTCACACTCTCCCGCTGCTATGCTCCAAAGTGCCAGTGTCTCCTGGAGAGGAGCTTTACATGTGTCTCGTGCCCCAGTTTTCGAGGCTGCCACCCAGGGGACACCCCATAATCACCTGGCTCTGGCGGCCAGGGGGTTTCACATTTCTGGGTCCCACAGGACTGTGGCCATCGGAGAGACAGTTCTTAGGAGGCTACCATCCCCAGGGCGCTGCACACACAGCAGACCGAGGCAGCTCCCGGGTCTCTCTGTGAAGGAGGCCTCTTCGCTTGTCCTGGAGCTTCAGCTTGAGGGGCAGGCTTCAGGTTTGGCACACATCTAGTGGCCTTCAGAGCTGCTCTCAAGGAATGTAGGCTGTGGACATCATCTTGGCATTCTTCCTCTGCCTTCCTCCAGCTCACCAGTATCTCCTAGCAAAGAGCTTATACACTCATCTGGAGCCCTAGTTTTTGTGACTGCTGCCCAAGGGACACCTCCAGATCACCTGGCTCTGGTGGCCAGCAGGGCTTATGCTTGTGGTCCCACAGGACTGTATATATTTGCATACTTTTAAAAGCTGCTGCATGAGGATCTGGCTTCCAATCAGCCTGAATCTACGTGCTGAGGTCCTCCCTTTGGGACGCTGACAGGTCTTGGCACATCCTCAGCTACTGGGAGCTGTTAAAAATAAAATAGACTGCTTGGACAAGCACAAAGGTTTGAGAGACAACCAACAACTAGGGCAGAGTTGAAACACAAGTTTTATCTCTTACGTGAGGCCACTCCTTCAAGGTGTGGGAGAGGTGGTTATTTCATCTAATGCATAGAAACCAACCCAGAGAGCTAAGCAAAATGAAGAAACAAAGGAATATGTTTCAAATGAAAGAACAAAATAAAACCTCAGAAAAAAAACCTTAATGAAACAAAGATAAGTAATATACCTGACAGAGAGTTCAAAGTAATGGTCATGAAGACGCGCACCAAACTGGGGAGAAGAATGGATGAACACAGTGAGAACTTCAACAAAGAGATGGAAAATAT